ATCATCTTGTTCTTCGGAAACCAAGTATTAGATACAGATCCAAGAAATATAAATCTTCAAATCATAAGTACATCCCCGTAAATATTCTTAGCTTATACTACATATGCACTGTGCTTATGTAAAAGTGGATTACCAATTAAAGCATATTAAAGTCACATGAAGTGGAGTGCATAAACCTTGTTATCCAGCATTTGTTTCAATTGAGTTATGTATGTAATTCGGCAAGTGGATTATCCCTTTAGAACTGCGACTCGATATTGAGTTTTCAGACAGATAGATGTAAGATGATATCAAGTTCAAATTATTTAATTTTTTCCAAATGAGGATATCAACCTCAATTCTTAAATTATCTACTGAACAATTCAATAAAAGTTCATTTAAGTAATATTTTCACACAGCTACCTAGTTGCACCCCTGGATATAGACAAAGCAGTGAATTCATCCATCTCAAACTTCAAAAGATAAACCATTCAAAGAAACAAATCAACCTTACGATATCCTGCGGGTGAAGGGATGAAAACCTCCATTTGCTTCTGAGAGGGAAGTGATTCGAATATGGGAAATCAATAGCTTGTACGAAATACATGCACGTATATTTATGCAAACTTGGTCAACCATGGGTACAAACCCTCCTTCAATTCATCCACATAGCTGCATAGCCTTTTACAAGCTATACCTTCTCCTCTAGCACACTTGTTTCTATACAATCCTTAGACCCCCGAGTGTTATAGTCTCCATTCTCGAGAATGGAGACTATAACACGGGGATTTAAGGATTGGTATAAAAACAAGTATCCTCCAGTAGAAGGCAATAGCTTGTAAACTGCTATACGAATATGTTGATGAGTTGAAGGAGAATTTATACCCCGGATGGACCAGGTTTGCACAAATATATAAGCATGTAATTCACGCTTTCACCAGTCCAGGATCAATAACATACTTAATTCCAGGTGTCACCGATATCTCGAAAATATGTGTGTCCAGTATCACCTAAACACCACATGAATGAATTAAAATCTGGTTTCAAATGGACATAGCTTGCAGACTCAGAAAAAATACCAAAAATTTTCAGCCTTGAAATTTTTGTCAAAACATACAAGAGAAAGTGGATAAAGAACTTGTCAGTATTATTATTACACACAGCAAAACAATAAACAGATGCACATTCTTAAAATAGAACAGCCAATACTAAAAAGGGGTTCAAATTCATCACTAAAATTATACCTGCAGCAATTGGTCAAATATTTTCTCTGTTACTCAATCTTTTGCTTCCTGCAAAATTTTACAAACACAAAACAAAAAAAGATCAGATTTTTTGAACAAAAACCCTTCATTCATAGTTACACCCCCCCCCCCACCCCCACCCATCACCAAAGGAAGCATTTTTAGCTTTTTACACACCTAAAACAAAAAAAGATCAAATCTTTGAACAAAAATCCTTCATTCATAGTTACTCCCCCCCCCCCCCCCCACACCACACCCCATACCCACCCATCACCAAAGGAAACATTTTTAGCTTTTTACACACAAAACAAAAAAAAGATCAAATCTTTGAACAAAAATCCTTCATTCATAGTTACACCCCCCACCCCCATCCATCACCAAAGGAAGCATTTTTAGCTTCTGGGACTGAACTAACAAGAGATTAAAGTAAATCAAACATGTGGGGTATGCTTTAAACTAAGAACCTGACAAAAAATCCCCTTTTCTTGAAAAATTATTAGCAGCCATAGAAGGACATGTTTGAAGATTTGTTCCAACACCTTTAGCAAGCAAAAGGTGGAAACAAAACTGTTTACACTATTTTGAACAATTCTGTAGATGAAGATCTCTTGAAATCATGAAAAGCCTTGTGTAAATGTGATCTAGAAAGTCCCAAATCTTTATTATTAGAGTATTATTTTACTATTTTTCTAAAAAAGAAAATTTTAAATGTGACCTAAAAAGTCCATAAATTACTTGACAAATAGAAACATGTCATTAGTAAAAAGTTGTGCTAAAAAGAGAGAATTGACTTACGATATATATATCCTATGAATGAAGGCATGAAAACCTTCATTTGCTTATGGGAGAGCAGAGTCAAGATTAAGAGTTTGGGGGTTCACATGTTAATATATATATACAAATATAGGGCTACGAAAAAGCTAGTGGGTTCGTCTGAACCCATGAACCCCCACCTAGCTCCGCCTCTGGAGGGAAGTGATTTGAAAATGAGAAATCACCAGCTTGTACAATATATATGGACGTATATTTACGTAAACTTGATCAATCCACGGGAAAAAACCCTCATTCAATTCATCCACATACGTAAGTAGCATTTTACAATCTATAGCCTCTTCTTTAGCACATTTATTTTTATATTAATCAAAAAAGCCCCAAATGTTACAATCTCCACTCTGGAGACGAAAATTTTATCTAATCTTTCGTCTTTCAGAATAGAGACAACAACGCTTGGGGATTTCAGGTTTTATATAAAGCAAGTGTTCTGGGAGAAAAGGTTATAAACTCGCAAAATACTATACGACTATGTTGATAAGTTGAAGGAGGGTTTCGGACCAGGTTTGCACAAATATAGAGTTGAATCCATAAAAGTCCCTATATATATAACTATAGGCCTCATGGCTTTTTTGCACAAAAAAGGGAAAAAAAAATAGTCGATTTCTGAAAGAAAAAAATATATTAGCATTTTTCCAAAAAGGTTGAATTTTCTTATAAAAAGTGATTAAATTTAATTTAGAAACTACATAAATTACTTGACAAATAAAAGTATATCATTACTAAAGTTTTTTCTTAAAATGAGACAATTTTGACCAGATTTCACCAAGTATGATTACTAAATTATAAAAAGAGACAATTGACTAGATTTCACCAAGTATGACAACTAAATTATAACATGTGTATGAGCTTAATTAGATACACAAAAAATGTAAGTGTATATAACTATAGGCCCCAAGGCTTTTTTGCACAAAAAAGGGAAAAAAATAATGGTGATTTCTGAAAGAAAAAAATCTATTAGTATTTTTCCAAAAAGGTTTGATTTTCTTATAAAAAGTTATTAAATTTAATTTAGAAATATCATAAATTACTTGACAAATAAAAATATATCATTACTAAAGTTTTTTTTCTAAAACGAGACAACTTTGACCAGATTTCACCAAGTATGACTACGAAATTATATAAAGAGACAATTGACTAGATTTCACCAAGTATGGCAACTAAATTTTAACATCCGTATGAGCTTAATTAGATACATAAAAAATGCAAGTATAACTAAAACGAGCTATGAATTTAATAATAATTTATTAACTTTAAATTTTTACTTTGTCTTTGTTGGAGTATTTGTGCGTGTTTGCTTTGGTGAATATCGCTACTATAATTATAATTGGAGTTGAAAATACTAATTTTGTTAGATTAAGACCTTTGTTGAACAACTTAGCATTCAAATGCTTTAATTTAGTGATAGCAACATGATTATTTTGAAGTTCGTTATCTTTAATATTTAAAAAAAAAAAAAACATCATTTCCCCCCCTTTCCCATGCATACGAGCTTAATTAGATATACACATCAGAGCAAAAAATGCAAGCATAATTAAGATGAATTATAAGTATAGTAACAATTTAAAAATTATCTTAAATCCCTATTCCACCTTTATGGAGTATTTATGTGAATTCGATATATATGAGGTTATTGTTACTTCATATGACTTCCACACAAACGATGTAATAAAAACTCTTAATGCAAAATTTGATGATGAAAATAATTTTACTAATACAATTAGAGTTGACATTATTAATTTTATTAAAATAAGAATTTTGTTATGTACAACTAAAAGCATTCAAACGCTTTAATTTAGTGGTAATAGCACAATTATTTTGAAGTTTGTGGAAAGATTAAATAGCTACTATTTTTTTTTCTTCTATTGGTGAATTAGGAGCTAGCTTATATATTTCCTTTGAATTAATATATGAGATTCCTCATTACCTTTTCGATAACATCATATTAGCTCGATATAGGTTTCGAACTTCCACCCTTTTACCAGTCTTGAACGATGTGCCACTACTAAATTGCAATCGAACCTAATTTCTAACTTTAAAGAATGAAATAATTACACCTTAAAATGATGATGCAAATATACTACTGTACAAAATTATTTCCTAGTGATATATACATATAACAATCAGTCATAAGATTGACTGAAATCCCTCCGATTTCAATTGAAGAGTTCGGTTTCGAGTCCCCGAGAACAGAAAAAAAAAACAACACTAGAAGGAGGGGTCGAACCTCCGACCTTGTGGTTAACAGCCACACGCTCTAACCAACTGAGCTATCCCAGCTTTTGTTTATTATTGATGCATTTTAAATATACAAATTAATTTTACTATCTCAACTTACAAACAATTCTCAAATACTTATCTTAATATTATAAATATTGTGGTCTCAAGCTTTTTAATGTATATATGTTTTTGAAATAAATTTTAAAGGAAGTGTAGTTCGACTATATCACATTCAAAAAAATAAGTCCGAACACCTGAAACTATTTTTAGGAGAAATCACTTTGTAACGTCATCACAATCATGTCAGATAATAGTTGTCATCGTAACATCATCACTTTAAAAAAAATGTCACCGCAATCGTGCAGTAGTTGCAATCACTACGTTATATGGGAATATCAAATATGTATACAAAACCAATAATTTCAACACCAAATGTGTAAAATACTGTTAATATGAGTTGGAAGCATTCATTTGTTGTAACTAAGGAACATATATCCAAAGTACTACTCAAAAAATGTTATACACAACCAAATTTGTCTTCAATTTTTTTTTTTGATAACCAAGAAATCCACCTGTGACCCGCCCTTTGGACCAATCTCAGTCTAGTCTTCTAAATTCGGTGGATAATGGGCCCGCCCCTCTACCCTTCTCCACTTAAATACCGGGCTTCGCTTTGCATGGTGTGGGGCTTGAACCTGCGACCTAAGCCACAAATCCTCCACCTTTTGCCACTCGAGCTAGGCCTTGGCAATAACAGTAACGTAGTTGGATGCTACGTACTTGTTAGTTCCCTCGTCGATGTTTCAGTTGGTATCAGAAAGTATCTCACACCAATGTACATTGCAATACTAATGACAGTGATAGTAACAGGACCAGCGAAAACTAACAAGTTTTTGGTTTGCTTGTTGTCGCGTTTACTGGAGATGGATTCAAATGAGTGAGCAGACCTCTCGGATCGATTGTTCATGAAGGAAGAATAGGAAGCAACTTCTTCTTTGGTAAGTGCTGGCTTGAGTGACTTTTTGACTGTTTGGAAGTGTCGATCAGATACAACTGTTGCAGATATGTTCTCTCTCAAAGCAACTATTCCAGCTTCTCTGCATAGCCCTTCAAGCTCAGCTCCAGTAAAGAGTTCTGTGTCTTCTGCAATTTGTCTCAGATTAACATCGTTATTCAATTTCATATCTCGTGTATGAACACTGAGAACCTCGAATCGAGCATCTAAGTCAGGAGGGGGGACATAAAGAACCTGCAAGCAAAGCAAATTGAATAAGATGTGACCATTAACGAGTACAATGATTGTTTCTTAAGAGTAACATTCGTGTTGAGATGCTAAGTTACACTAAGAGTTTCTTACGAGATCAAATCTTCCTGGTCGCATCAGTGCAGCATCAATTGCGTGGGGGCGATTTGTGGCAGCCAAAACAAGAATTCCCTGACAAAGCAACGATTAGAAAACACAGGAACCACAATCTATATCTGATCAAAATGATCCATTATTTGCATTCAGTACTTAAAAAACTGCAATAAACTTTCTGCTCACTTTAGCCTGCTCTAAGCCATCCATTTCGGTTAGGAGGGTGGATAACAGTCTCTCTCCAACTGTACTGCTTCCACTTGAACTTCCTCCTCTGTCATTTTAGGAAAAATCGTATCGGGGTTTTGCATAAACAACAAGAATTGCGGAAGATAAACTTAAAACTCACAAGAAATTGCTAAGCTAAATAAACTTACCGTTTGGTTGCAACTACATCAGCCTCATCAAAGAATATTATACTTGGTGCTGCAAGGCGAGCTCTTCGGAAAGCATTGCGCAATAAAGCTTCACCCTCACCAACATACATAGAGTACAGCTCTGCACCACTGTTCCATGATTATGAATTTCAGGAAACTGAATAATTAGTATTTGCAATTTTTAGTCAAATCGAATGCATGAGGTAATAATTAGTCAATACATTACATACTCAGTTATTGAAAACAAGCTAATAAAGATGGTTAGCATCATAGTAAATACCAATCTGATGCCTTAGGCTCCAAAGGGACATAAACCCCAGCATACATTAGAGATTTAGGTAGAACGTACTAAATGACAGTCATTTCAAACTAACTTAACATGTTTTTGGTTTCCCGAAACTGTGATATAACTTAGAATTTAACATGTTTTAGATTTTCCAGGAACTGTCATATAAGTTGGCAAAGGCTGATGGAGACAAGAATCACTCACTTGTTGCTAAGCAATGCATCAAACAATTACTTATTAAACAATAATGATAAACTTACTATATGTGTTAAAAAGAAATGCTTAATGAGAATAATAGTTGACAATGAAGAAGATAGAAAAGGTAAAAAAGCTATGGATAAGTGCAACTGTGCAAGCACCACAAGTGTATAACCAGCTATTGGATTATTTTAACTTTCTTTTTGGTGACGGTGGTTTCTGGGCCAGCTTGTGTGCACCTTGACTATTTCATAAGATACCTACTATTTCTCATCAAGACAGGTACCGGTAATTCTGTCCACCAAGGTAGATAGATGGGAAAATCACTTAATTTGTTTGCCTCGCGGAGATTTGAACCTAAGACCTCATCGTTCTCCTCCCACTTCATTGACCACTAGGCCGACATCCTTTGGTGCTCATTTTGATTAATCAGTGCATGCATATGTTTCCTTCTTCTAATAGAAGCATTTATATCTGAAAACCATCATTACTAATGAAAGTTATCATTTATCAGTCCTTTGTAGTTCTTTTGCATCAAGAGATAGCAGGAAACAAAGCATCAAACAGCAGATAAAAGTTTTTATCATGCCAAGGGTAGAAGAGACCAGAATGGTCATCAGACCTCAAGGAGAAGAATGAAGCTTGGGCAGCATGAGCAGCAGCTTTAGCAAGGGTTGTTTTGGAGCACCCTGGTGGACCATGAAGAAGGATTCCACGGGAAGGTGATACTCCCAGCCGTTCAAATGCTTCTGAGTGTTTTAAAGGCCATTCAACAGCTTGCTGAAGCTTTTTCTGTTTCAAGAATTTAACACCATATTAGATTTTCTAAATATTCAACCTGACCTAATTGGTCATGTGAGGTTATACCTTAATGTCTTTCAACCCTCCAATATCTTCCCAAGAAACCTTTGGGATTTCAACAGTAACACCCCTCGTTATACTAGGGCCAACCACTGATCTGGCATGCTTCCAATCTTCCATATTAATGCTGTAAGAATCATCCTCTATATTTGAATCAGAGCACTTTCTTACTGCAGACATTGCAGCTTCACGACACAGCGCCTCTAAATCTGCCCCAACATAACCATTACAAGATACTGCAACTGCTCGAAGATCAACACTCACATCCAATTGAAGCTTCTTTGTATAAAGCTGAAACGAAAACCAGCATCTTAAGATTAACTTCATATAGATCATACCACAGAAGGGATTGAGCAACCGTAGATGTCCACAAAGAGTACCATTCAGGTATTTCCTTAAACTGGTGCATGCTCAATACTCTATCTTATGCAGCTCACCTTGAGAATATGCAACCGCTCTTCCTCAGTAGGTGTTGTGACTTCAATTTCAGCATCAAAACGTCCAGCCCTTCTTAAAGCTGGATCAATAGCATCCGGCCTGCACATAAAATGTATAGGCGTCAAAGTTAATTGGGGAGGGAAGCGTACGACACCATGACACAGAAGTAAGCATAGAATTTCATGACCATCAGAAGGATATATTAGGGGCTTGGTGGCTTGCTTACATACAGTAAGCAGGCACTGTCACTTGCGTACATTCTTGAAGGACATAACAGTAAAATATAAAATTAGTTTTGATCATTATATTGTGGGTTTCATTTTCTTTTGGCAACTGTTTAGGGAAGGCCTCGTTAGGAAATTGGCATAGGTCTCGGCATCATGACCCCAAGCCTGGGTTTTTTTTTACTCTGAATAACTTCATCTTCTGTTTCTCCATCTCCAGTGTTCACTTCCCTTACAGCAGATCCTTTTATTTGTTTATTGCCATTCACTTCATTCATGCGCTCATTCTCAAAGCTGATGCATCAACAATGCTCTCATCAAGGAGCCCAAAGTCCATCATTTTATCATGCAGACCTCCAGATGCCTCTTCACCAGAATATACATTTGTTTCCCATTCTCTAGTCCATTACTTTCTCATATATGCACTTCTTCAAGCCCATTGTTAATGCTATAAGATTGTTCTACCTCCAACCCCTTTCCTGCATAAATGTCCTTGCTGCAAATATCACGGCCTACAGCTTCCCATGTGAGGGCTGCTAGGGAAGCTTTAATAGATGTTTTTACATAATAACGGACAAAAAATAATCTGTTGAGAGCAGGCTTACATGAGAGACACAGAAAAAGGTAATCCACCACAAAAATATAAAATATTAAACCAAACAAAGAAAATGCTGCAGAACCCTTACCTATTGGTTGATGCTACCACCACAACATGTGATACTGATGTCGATGAGGATTTAATGGAATCCATCAACATAAAGAGCTGAGAGGCTACACGAATTTCTTGCTCCCTTCTGCAATTCAAGCACTCAAATAACATATTAGTAAAGAACATTGGAATATATCATCAACTCTACCCTACCAACATCTTCTTCTTTTTTTTCGGTTTTGTAAACCATAGTTTAAGCAAGGTCATTTTCATATGGATGTGGATAAAGTGATGCAACATATACCTAGAATCTCTACGAGGACAAAGAGCATCTATTTCATCTAAAAAGATGACTGATGGCTTGCCTAATTTTGCATGAGATGATGCTTCTGAAAATGCCTCCCGCAAAATTTTCTCACTTTCACCAGCATGAGCCCTGTGAACAGAATGGGGACTGCAAATACATCCAAAACCAGAGAGAACAGTAAGGCAAAGAAAAATACAAAACAATGCAAGATTCTCCTTGAAGTTCAATGACTTCATTCTTCTCTTAATGTATGTGTGGAGTCACCATACAATATAACTAGCATCAAAAGCTAAACTCTTCCAAAGCACATACGTTTTTCAGTTATATAGATATCATCAAGGACCATAACGATCACAGACTGCTCAGTGATTCAATTGACAGATCTGAACCAATTAGATAAATTTCTTCCAAGCATACTCATAAAGAACTTCTAGTATTTTTTGTTGTTGTATAATACAGGTCCTAAGATGAACTAAACTGGAGAAGCATGGTTGGTAAGACTTCAGATCGACTACCCCAGCTTGCTTGGGTTGGAGGTGTCTTTGTTGTTATCTGCCAGACATACATAATAAGGAAACGATAACATCGAACTAATAAAAAATGGACCATTACTTTTCTTGTACATAAACAACAAAAACAAAAACACATTTAGAAGTTCAGAGAAAATAAAGTTGAGTGAGAATCACACACCTTATTACAATCAAATGGGCACCACATTCTTGAACAACTGCTCGAACTAAGCTTGTCTACAATTGAAAAAAATACAAAAAGTTTAACCAAACAACTATCTCAAACCCAAAAGACAATTTCTAAATCCAGAGACATGATTTTGACTCAAATCCAAATGTCAATTGTATACAAATTGACAAGACAGGATTTGGCAACAAACCAAAATGCCAATTGTGAGATTCAAAGACATGATTTTTGGCTCAAAGCCAAATGTCAATTTCCAATTTAAACAATCATGATTTTGGTTCAAAACCGACAAGTCAATTTTAAACTAAAAAAAAAACATGATTTTGGCTCAAAGTCAGATCAAGAATAGACATGTATAGTACCTTGCCAGTTCCAGGAGGTCCATATAGCAACAACCCACGTGGCCACTACAGAAAAAATACGCAAAGCAATTAGAGTTGTCAATGAAGGATGATAAGCTATATATCAAAGCTATACTATCTGGAAAACATTTAGTACCTTTAGGCCAAGTTTTCGAGATTCAGCAGAGTAAAGAAGAGGATATGTGATGAGTTCTCTGAGAACACGAAGAGCTTCAGCATTGCCGGCTATAGCTTCATCTGCTCTCCACTCACCAGCACAGCTGGTGCTCCCACTGCTACTTTCCATCTCTCACAGAGTGTGCCGGAGAGGGGGTGGGGACCGATACTTTTCAGCAGTGCCCCTTTCTGGACTCGAAGAAGAACCCCAAAACCCTCAATTTTGGAGCTTCATTCAAAATAGCTCCTAATATATAAAGTGAACACTGTCAATGCTGTAAGTTCTCAAAAGTTTATGTACATTTATTAGCAGTACATCAAAATCTGCCTATAGCTTGATAAATAAATTGACCCCAAACAGAAGCTATGGAAAACATTCTTCCTTCCCCACACCATTATTCAACAAGCACAAAGATTCAAGAAAGTACCCAACATATAATTAGTGGTAACAAATTCAGAGAAGCAAAAAAATATTTTTTTTTTACAAGTATCACTAAAAGATAATATCTTTGAACATTCCAGAAAATACCCAACATATAATTAGTGGTAACAAGAATAGGGTTCTGATAAAAGTTCTTACCTTGTGAAGTAAATCACTCTGTCAGAATGGCCGCTTGAATCGTTCAGTGTTTTATTTTAGTTTTCTGAAAAGGGTTTTAGCCTAAGTAGAAAAAAATTAAACTTTAAGGGCAATTTTGTCCTTTTAAAAACATTTTGATATTTCATAAACCTTTCTTCCTACTTGGCCTTAAAAGTTCTGTTTGTAGGGTTTAAGGAAGCTGCAGGACAAAGAAAGATGTGTGGCATAGCAGTGATTGTGTCTGGAATTAAGATAGTTTTATCATCTTTAGACCCAAATTTTATCTCTCCAATACCTCTATTGGAACAGCAGGTAATAATATACTGCTCTCTTTACTGAACTTACCATTGATTCAAGAACAGCAAAACTGCAGTTATTAGGCCTTTTTTTACTTCTGATTTCATATTTATTACTCTTTTTTGTATCTTTAGATGAACCCCTTTTGCTGCTACATCTGAATTAAGTAAAAAAAATGCATAAAACTGCCTGCAACTGAAAAGGAGAATTGGAGAAAGATAGCTTTTGATTAAAGAATTAGATGAAAGGAGCTATCTTTGCATCTTAATGAGGAAAGATTGATGTGAAGCTTCTAAAGTTGTTAACTTTTTTCATGTATTGTTAGACGAATCCCATATGCTACAACATCTAAATTATGTAGAAGAACAGCAACTAAAAGGAGCCATTTTTGTAGCTTTATGATGAATGATGAATGAGGTTTCTGTCATTATGTTTCTTTAAAATTGATCGATCTGCCCAATTTTTATACAACCCGCAAATGAAGTAAAAACAGCATAAGAACTGCCTGCAATTGAAAGGGAAATTAGAGGAGGCTAGCTTTGATTAAAAAAATTAAAAGAAAACAAATACATTTGCACCTTAATATGGAAAGATTTATGTGTTGTTTCTAAAGTAGAAGAACAACAATTTAAAGGACCCATCTCTTAGCTTTATTGTTTTCCTTTAGAATATCTGGATTGATCTGCCCATTTTTATACAAGTCTCAGATGAAGCAAAAACAGCATAAAAACCTCCTGCAACTGAAAAGGGTAACTTTAAAATCTAACTTTGATAATAAGTTAAAAGAAAGAGCTATCTTTGCACCTTAATGAGGAAAGATTGATGTGAAGGTTCTAAAGTTGTTATCTTTTTTTCATTTTTATGAGTTATCTTTAGAGGTTGACAATGCGTTATATTGTCATCAGACTTTGTTTTCAGTGGATGACATAAAAGAGGTGTTAAGAAGAAGGGGTCCAGATAGTTTGGGATGCAAGAAAGTTTTACTTCGTTCTGGGGTTTCATCTTTACCAGGTGGGGAGCAAGATGTTGTTGCCTTTGTGGAGGATGAAACTCCAAGGGAGGGAAAGGATTCTCATATGGATGGTGGTGCTGCTAAAGAATTCATTAGAGAGTTGCAATTTATTGGTGCTACATTGCAGCTTAGAGGCATAAATCCTATCATTCAACCATTGGTGGACATATCAGGGAACATCCTTGTTTATAATGGTAATACATGGCGTTTGAGCCATTACCAACATGATAAACTGAAGTGTCTCTTGGATTTCTTGCTTCTCGACCTTCTTTTGTTTGATATATTTCGTTTTCAACTTAATTGATGTTTAACTTTGGAGAGTCAAACAATGTACACAATTCTGGTGTATTTGTTTCTCTTCACTTTCAAGTGATTGGCCAAATGCAGATTCCACAATTTTAGTTTTCTTGTTTGCGAAAACAATTCAAATTTTTTTCTTCTCAACCAAGTTGATTGCTTCAGCATTTTTTCTGTCTTATATATTCGTTATTTCTGTCATAGTTAATCAAATCTTTTTTGTAAGTAATCAAAATTATGAAATTTCTAGGTTTTCTATCGAAATTAATTATTACTGTCCTATTTTCACCCCATTTTCTAAGAGTCTTTTATTGATTGTTGTTTGTTTTCCTGTAATTATTGTTTAGGTGAAATATTTGGAGGCATCCAAATGAGTAGCGATAACAATGACACTGAAGTTCTTATGCAACATCTAGGACTATGTTGTCCTCATGTTTCCTCTCCACATAATAAAGCTCATACTTCTGGAGACAGGCAATGTACTGTTCCAGAACTTCTTTCCAGAATCAAGGGGCCTTGGGCTTTGATTTATTGGCAGGTAACTTTTGGTGGTAAGTTTCTATTGGCTTACTTCAGCAGGAAACGCTGTATCATTTTGAAACAAATGCTTCTCTAATGCTCCACTACTCTTTGCTATAGAGTAGTTCAAGAATATTATGGTTTGGTCGAGATGCATTTGGAAGGCGAAGTCTTCTTGTTCACTGGCCAACAAAGGAGGACCCTCGGTTTCTGCTGTCTTCTGTATCACCACATGCCTCTGTAAATGAAAGTTCTGGTAACAATTATTCAACATCTTACTCACTAACTGATTTCTTTTAACACAGTGAAGATTTCTTGGAGAAGCTTCAACTTATTTTAAAGTAAAACATAAGCAAATCAGTTGCCATTATCTTTAATGGGAACAACTATATTAAATTATCAATAGTGATGATTGAGCATGTACAGTCAAGAACATATAACAATCCAACATATTATTTTAAACTAAGCATTTTGGTGATTTAGCCATCCTCTCTTTGTGAAGTTTGCTGCTTCATAAAATCATTATTGAAAATCATCTCTCAATCCAAGATTGTTCCTTTTGAGTTTTCAAGCTGTCTATTAGTTGGATAAAATATTTGATGTTGGAAGGAAGTTGATATTGCTTGTTTGTTCATTGTTCGATATTTTAATTAGAAACATCAAAGTTAAAATTATTTGACATTCTAACCTACCAACATGAAAGAGGAAAAAAAAAAAAGCAAACTCTGGCAACAGTTGGTAGTATAGTCTGTCTATAGCTACTTATTCTTCCCCTGCAAATCAGTGCAATCTTTTAACGAATGGGACACTATGATCTTGCAGAATCTGCAAATGGAGATGGAATAGCCAAAATAGACTTCTGGGAAGAACTTCCATGCGGTGTGTACAGTTTGTCTATTGGTGCTTTAGGAACAGATGACTATTTAATTGGTGAAGTTTTGAAGCATGACTGGACAGATCCAAAGCTTAAGGAGTTGATCACTTGGGAAAGAACTTCTGTCCAACCAAAATCAGAGGACTTGTGTGCTTCTCACCAAAAGGTTTATAGCAGGAAAGAGGACTCGCCTTTAACTCCTTCCATTCTGATGGAATCTAAGTTAGGTCAATATCACTTAGTTCTGCTGTTAATACCATTCATTACATGTTTGGTGGATTAGTAATTCATCATGCTGTCAGAGTCTAACTTGAGTGCAATCTTCTTCCAATTGGTACAGCTTCTACAGACTGCCTACTTACATCGCTACCACACAGGGTAATGATTGCTTTACAAGAGTCGATAATGCGACGCACTGCATTAAATACAATCTACCAGGTCAGAAACTGATTTACTTTTGTTTTCTGTTTCCACCCAATGTTTAGAACTAACGTTTGACTACCCCCTGTGGATACATGTATTGATTTAAGAAGCCCTTCAATGGAACAGGAAAAGCATAAGCTGTTGTATTAGATTTCTGAATTGACATAATTCTTGGGTATTGTGTAGGCCACTTCAGTTGACTATACAAACAAATGCAATACTCCAGTTGCCGTGCTCTTTTCTGGTGGATTAGACTCTATGATACTTGCAGCATTACTAGATAAATGCATGAATGCCAAATGTGAGTGTCTCTGATGTCCCTCTTTTGAGTTAAGAATAGAACATTCTTTCAAGTTCCTTTCCTGTTTGCTTTACCTATAGAAATTTTAATCTAGTCATGGTCTATTCTGGTGTTATACTTGTAGATGAAATTGATCTGCTAAATGTAAGCTTTGACGGCCCATTTGCTCCTGATAGAATATCTGCTAGGGCAGGCCTAAAGGAACTTCAAAAAATTGCCCCATCAAGAAGGTATACATTCCCTTTCTTGCTTTCACTTGTACCATTAGCAACTAGATTTCTTAGTGAGAAATCAGCAAGATGACACTCTTATGTCTGAAAATGCGTGTGATACTGCCGGAATGATGAATCAAGCAAACTATGAGCCCGAATTTAAATGAAATCATAGCTCTTGCAAAGAAAAATGGACATTGAAAAATTTTGGCAATTTAAAAAATGGTCCTACTCAATAGACCTTCTTTAGATACAAAGATATTACGTTGCTCATGTGAAAGCAAATGCAACTTGGTTTTGAACCTCTACCTTTTTGTTTCTCTCCAGTTTCTGCTCCTTCTTTTTGAGTTTTGTTCATCATAAAACTGAGTTGCAGATGGAAACTTGTAGAGATTGATGCTGATCTGCTGAAGCTGACCTCTGAAACGAAGCATGTCATGTCACTAATAAATCCTGCAAGGACCTACATGGTATTTTTCAAATCAATACCTACATGAATATGTCTCTGTTACTTAAGTCATTTTGAACCACGGTCAAATTGCTCAATTATTTCTTCCTTGCTTCAGGATCTGAATATTGGTATTGCTCTGTGGTTGGCTGCTAGCGGTGACGGTTGCTTACAAGATGAAACAGGCAACGATGATACCTGTGGCAGTGTCAAGTACAAATCTGCGGCTCGGATTCTCCTAGTTGGTGCTGGTGCAGATGAACAATGTGCTGGATATGGTCGGCATAGGACAAAATATAGAAATGGAAGGTGAAGTCCTCCTGTGCGAACATCTTTTCTTTGCTTAATCCATTCCTGTTGACTCATTTTGTGATATCCATTACGTCCCAGTTATGTGTAGGTTTGCCATCCTCAAAAGTACTTGGGGCAACTAGCACTAGGGTGCATTCACCTCTTGTTTATATAATATTGCTACGTACTCCTTCAAAGAAGTTGCTTTAGTAGCTCCAAAAGCTTAAAGTAGTAATTGCTTATGTTCTAATTTGTGCTCTTTTGGTGCTGTATCAGCTGGTTAGGTCTGAATGATGAAATGAAACTAGACATGCAGCGGATTTGGAAGAGAAACCTAGGGAGAGATGATAGGTGTATTGCCGACAATGGCAAGGAGGTACTTGAATTGCCTTAAACGGTGTGCTTTCTTATATTATAGTTACCGTCTAAACGTATTTTCTATTTTCCCCAGGCCAGGTTCCCTTTCTTGGATGAGGATGTCATCAGGATTTTGCTAGATATTCCGTTGTGGGAGATCGCTGACCTTAATCAACCAATTGGTATTGGTGACAAGAAAATCTTGCGAGAGGTTAATTTCACCTCTTAACTTAATCTTAGACTGGATTTCGAAGTTACAATAATGATGATGTCATGATCCTTTGTTTGTATCTGTGCACTCTGCAGAAGTATATTTCATCAGGGGGATTCGCTCTTCTCCCTTTCTACAATCTTTCACTTAAATCTTTTTCTCTAGCAGGTTGCACATTTACTTGGTTTGTCAGAAGCAGCTTCACTTCCGAAAAGAGCAATTCAGGTATATATTATATGCTCTTGATCTGTCGTTGAGGTCAATATTCTCTGATTCATATATGGTTCACAAAACACCATCTTAATTGAGAAGCTCGGCTAGAACTGTAGTTACCAGCTGTTGCTTGTTAGAGTACCATTGCTCAAATTTTTAACATTGACAAGTTCACTCAACAACGTTTAAACTTTATCTTTCAGTTTGGTTCAAGAATTGCAAGAGAATCAAATCGGAAGAATTTTGGAAGCAACCGCGCAGCCAATCAAGCATCTGCTGGAAGTGTAACAATACACAGAAATAACTCATAATCCCCATATATATACCATAAAACACGCGCAGTCCTTTTGCTGGAGCCTTTATCAACTCCATTCATGAATCAGGATCACAAGTCAACTGGCTTTCAGCTCCAACATTTAGCTGGTTCCATAATATTATTAGAATGATGATTTATCCTGCGTATTATTTTGATGAACGATTTTTGTGAGTCCAGGATCTAGATACTATCGCCTGTCTTGATGTTCGATACAATGAATACTTGTAGTTGACCTCTTGGTTGAACTATGAGTTTTCTGGAAAAGAATGAATTATAAGTCAATGTTGCTTCTACTAGGTTGTGTTCTCTGTTTTTTAACTTGTCTATAGGCTCCCTTTATCTGCACCTGGTTGAAAAATCAAGCACACAACATTGTTTTTTACAAGATTGATGCATTTCCACACCTTTGTTTCTTGTTTTCTTAATATACCGGTAACCCATCCATCATGACTGACTCTGGATATTACAACGTGTCGTAATCCCACAAGCAGGGTCTGGGGAGGGTGGAGTGTGTTGACTTTAGGGACCTTGTGTGATGTAGAGAGATTGTTTCTGATACAACCTCGGCAACTGACTCAAGAAATGCAAGAAGAAGGGTGAGGTGTATGAAGACCTTAGTCCTACCTTGTGTGAGGTAGAGAGGTTGTTCTAGATAGATCTTTGGCAACTAACTGCAGATGTTGAAAGAAAAAAAAAATACTTAATATAACAAAGGAAAAGAAAGGTAGGGTATATGCAAACTTTACTCCTACCTTGTGTGAGATCGAGAAGGTGCTTTCGACAGAAACTCGGTTATCGATTCTAGATATTAAAAGAAAAAATAGAGGTAGACCTTACTCCTACCTTGTGTGAGATCGAGAAGGTGCTTTCGACAGAAACTCGGTTATCGATTCTAGATATTAAAAGAAAAAATAGAGGTAGACCTTACTCCTACCTTGTGTGAGATCGAGGAGGAGGTGTTTTCAATAGAAACTCGATTATCAATTTGGATATTAAAAGAAAAAATAGAGGAGGTAGACCTTACTCCTACCTTGTGTGAGATCGAGGAGGAGGTGTTTTCAATAGAAACTCGATTATCAATTTGGATATTAAAAGAAAAAATGGAGGAGGTAGACCTTACTCCTACCTTGTGTGAGATCGAGGAGGTGTTTTCGATAGAAACTAGATTATCAATTTGGATATTAAAAGAAAAAATAGAGGAGGTAGATCTTACTCCTACCTTGTGTGAGATCGAGGGGGAGGTGTTTTCGATAGAAACTCGATTATCGATTCCGGATATTAAAAACAAAATAGAAATAAAAACGCTAGAAGGAGGGGTTGAACCTCCGACCTTGTGTGGTTAACAGCCACACGCTCTAACCAACTGAGCTATTCCAGCTTTGTGTTGTATTTAATAACCAAATTTAAGTATATGTAACAACATGTAAAAAAGTGAATATAACTACTATATCCTAACAACAATAAAATGAATTTATATATAAAAAAAATCAAGTTAAATTAAATTTAGTTTCATTCAAATTTCACCAAAGTAAAAAATCATGTTTGAATAATATTACTTATATCACCCAAACGCATCATTAATCACGTTTAAAACTCAATATAATTAATGTCAAAGCTTCTTAGAATTAATGGAAAATTTAAGGACTACATTATAATCAACATAAAACTTATTGCCAAAATCTTAAGTTGTATACCAACAAATTTGATTTTTAAATTATTCTTCAAAATAGTCAACAAATATAGTAATTGATTTCATTAATAAGCTTTTATTTCAAACAAATTACATTTATTATTGTCAAATTGCTCCTATGCATTTACACTACTAATTAATCATAACTAGTTATTTTTTTCCTTTTAATTTTATGTGTTTTAATTTGACTGGATTTTAATTTAGTAAAAATAAATAAATTAAGTCTTACGAATTTAAATTAAAGCTATGATTAATATATCAAAATTACATGAACTTTTTAATCTTAATATATTAAAATTTAAGTGATACTATCTTTTAATAGATCATAATTAAAATGATTACGTTTTTTAAAATTGAAAAAGTTTTTTTCAAAAAATATTTTCCAAATACACCCTTATTTTTTTTCTTTTTTTCCCCTTTTCATTTTTTTTCTTTTCAAAATATTATATAATGTGTATTTTTCTTATTCGTATATTTTTACCAATTTAGTCCATTCGGTAAGCGCTTGTGATTAAGCAAAAACTCGATACGGTGAAAAATTTATTTGAATAATTTATCTTACTTGATTTTCTGTAGATTTATTTGAAGAAATTCGTCTTTTTTGTGATTTGTTTAAGTATTTTCAGACGCATGGAATGACTATCAATTTAAGTATATATGGATGAAATTCTCAAAGGAGGTAAGTGACATATTTATTTAAAAAATTATTTCAAATTCTTTAGTAAATTTATGAATTTCTTGATTCATCTTAATTTGTTGGAGACTAATTTTGTCGATCCTTCTGAGATTAAAGCATACATAAAAAAAAATTCACATCTAAGAAATAATTTGAAAAAAATCAATATTTAATTTATAAACTACACAGAAAATTTGAGATGGTAGAGAGGGGGGGGGGGGGGGGGGGGAGTACTCAAAATTGTGCGTAAATCATGATTAGGGTTTCAACAAATTGGGTAACATTCAATTAAAACATACATAATATAATTTTTATATTCCTCTGACCATTTATTTTCCTTTTTTAATTATAGATTATAGTCTAGTTATTATAAGACGAAGTGCATTGATAATTCTTAAATTTATCGATAACTTTTTTAATTACTTGAACTATATATTATCTCAATTGAGAGTCTGAACAAATAATTTTACTCAAAATTTTGAAAAAGCTTCTGCGCATACAAAACTTTTGAGAAAACAAAAAGAAATCATTAAAAATTCATACAAGAAAACATCAAACGTTACTATATACGAGAAAAAAAAAGGAGGCAAAAAAGAAAAAAACTTGTGAATACCTATGAAGAAAAAGTATTGAATTTGCAAAAAATAAAAAAAATAAAAAATATATATGTGGTGAATTTATAGTGGTGGATTGACGAAGAAAAAAATATTAACGGAATAATTACTGAGAAGCTTTTTTCAATTCCAATTAACATTTTATGTGTCAAAGTGAAAATTATAAATCATTACAGATATTCCTTATATATATATTCGGTATAAAATAAAATTGAAATAATATAAAGTAGACATTTGGACATGAATTAGTTGATATTTGAAAAATAGTATATATTTGAAGTTAAATTGAATAAGAGTATCTGAAGTTGTACTCAGATATAAAAACATAATTACAATTTTGATATGAAAATAAAAAAATAAAAATAGTATTTAGAGTTAAAACTGAAAAAAGGTACTCTAAAGTCGTATTTGTGTCTATACATAATTTTAAAAAAGAAAACATAGTTGAAATTTTGTGAGTAAATATTTGAAAAAAGATATAGTAGTATTTGAAGTTAAATATTACCATTTAAAAAAAAAAAAATTACTCATGAAACTTCAACTATGTTTTTCTATGTCCTAACACAAGTACGACTTTAAAAAAACCTTTTCTCAATTTATGTCCGAATACAACTTATATTACTCTTTTTCAATTTAACTTCAAATACATACTTTTTCTAAATATCAACTAATTCATGTCCAAACGCCTACTTTATATTATTTCAATTTTTTTTTACAATATAAATATAAGAAGTATTTGACGATTTACAATTTTCACTTTTGGAGAAAATATTCGCAGTAATGACCTCTTAATATTTTTCTCTCTCGTCAATCCGTTATTATAAATTCATCACATATTCTTCATTTTTTTCTTTGTTTTTTTTTTTTTTTTTGCTTCTGCAATTTTAACACATTTTCTACATAGGTATTCACAAGTTTTTTTTTTCTCCATTTCCTCTTTATTTATTTATTTATTTATTCTCTTGTATGTAACTTTTGATGTTTTTTTGTATAATTTTTCAATGATTTTTTTTTTGATTTCTCAAAAGTTCGTATGTTTTTATTGCTTGATTTCTTTGAATGGTTGATATATATTGATTATCTTTTAGGTTTTATAATTATGAATTATTAATTTTGTAGTGTTGTTGCATTTATTTTGTCAATTCTTGAATTTGTAACCTTTTTTTATTTTTAGATTTGATGCTTTTAAAATTTTAATCTAGTTAGGCCTTGTGTTCATTTTGAAGTTTCTCCAATTGTTTTATTGGATGTGATTTTATTGTTATTGATTTTTACCAATTTGATAGGGCTATGGAGTTTTGTTAAGGTCCATTATCATTGTGGTCTTGTATTTTTGTAGCCCAGTTTACAATATATTTGTTGAAATTGTAAAATTAACGATATTTGAAATTGAAGTAGAATTTCTTTTTGATGTTTAACATAAATTTTACTTGAAAAATATTGATTGAAGTTGAATTTCTTTTTGACGTTTAACATAAATTTTACTTAAAAAATATAGAAGCTTAACTAGGAACATATTATTTCACTTGAAATACGATTCAGTTTTCTTTTAAAACAATTCTCTATTTCAGTAATGGATCAAATTGTAAATAAGTATTATTTTTAGAATAATATTTTCTTTTAGTTTCGTTTTTACTCCATTCTATCGCACATTATACATAGACAGAATATAAGACCAAATTAATTAGCAGTGGTCATTAGATCATCATGATTATAACACTCACATGATAGAGACGTTTCAGAATCTAAATTTAATGAGTTAACTTTTAATATTAAGCTCATTATGCTCTTACAATTTTAAATTTTAGAAATTGAATTCTAATAAATTTTGACCTTAAAATATATGTTTCGTGATAAAAATATTAGATTCGATTAATTCATTGTATGAAAATTGCATATGCCTTTGTCACATAATATACAATCGATATTTTGAGCCTCGTGATTAAAAAAATAAAAAATAAAAAAGAGAAAAGATGATTTAGTTGAATGATATAACTCCAATATAAGAAATCAATATGGTTTTGAGTAAAGAACTATGGAGAGTTCGAATTATTGTCTCCACTTTCATGAAATTGTAAAAATATGCCAAAAATAGAGAAACAAT